GCCCATCTTCAACATAAAAATACATGGTTCCTCCCTGAAAATCTATGAGCAAACAATTATTATGGTTGTATGTAAAACCATATACACCCTTCTGAATGGGTGATTGATGCATAATACCCTTTTACACATAAAGCTAAAACCAACTCAAGAAAATGCTAGTGAGAAAGACCAGCCTGAAGCAGAAATGTGTTAACTTCATGTAGAGATCATATTTTTAACTGGATAAACATAAAAATCCATGGCTGCATTTTAAACCATCTAAACTAATTGGCCTCTGTCCACAAATGTGTCATTTTAATTAGGTGTATCACCTTGGTTGGGAGACTGATATCTTTTCCTTGGGGTTAATTTCAAAGGTACCAGGTTCTAAGTCACAATTATTTTTCATCATTCTAGCTGCCTTGTCCTTCCTGGCTCCACTGTTATTTCAAAATGGGATACATCATAGTTATCATAAGGAAAACCATAATAAAGGAGATTCAGCATGGGAAAAATGGTTCAGGGGAAGCCACCTGACTGTAGGAAAAATAGATTCTATTGTCCTATTAAAATAAAGATATTGAGGATCTCTAGCTTTCATCCTAGTAAGCAAGCAAATATACCTTAGCCCCCTGAGAAGCAAAAATTTTTATTAAAATATACAGGAGAAATGTTTTCCTTTTTAAAGATAGATATAGGACTATACCTTGATTGTGGTATACCTTGATTTTAGCAAGGCTTTTGATATGGTCTCCCACAACATTCTTGCAGGCAAGCTAAGGAAGTGTGGGCTGGGTGAATGGACTGTAAGATGGATAGGAAACTGGCTGGAGCATCAGGCTCAGAGGGTTGTAATCACTGGTTCGATGTCTAGTTGGCAGCTGATATCATGGGGAGTGTCCCAGGGGTTGGTCCTTAGGTTGGTTTTGTTCAATAACTTCATCAACAACCTGAAAGATGGCATACAGTGTACCCTCAGCAAGTCTGCAGATGACACCAAGTTGTGGGGGGAGTAGTAGATATGTTGGAGGGTAGAGTTGGGATTCAGAGTGACCTAGACAAATTGAAGCATTGGGCCAAAAGGAATCTCCTGAATGTTCAACAAGGACAAGTGCAAAATCCTGCACTTAGGATGGAATGTCCCATGCATCAGTATAGGCTGGGGGCTGACTGGCTGGGCAGCAACTCTGCAGAAAAGGACCTGGAAGTTACAGTGGACAATAAGCTGAATATGAGCCAACAGTGTGCCCTTGTTGAAGGCTAATGGCATACTGGGCTGAATTGGTAGGAGTGTTGCCAGCAGATCAAGGGAAGTGATTATTCCCCTCTATTCAGCATTGGTGAGGCTGCATTTGGAGTAGTGTGTTCAGTTTTGGCCCCCCTGCTACAGAAAGGATATGGAAAAATTGTAGAGAGGGGCCAACAGAGGGCAATGAAAATAGTGAGGGGCTGAGGCACATGACTTCTGAGGAGAGGCTGAGGGAACTGGGCTTATTTAGTTTAGAGAAGAGAAGACTGAGAGGGGATTTAATAGCAGCCTTCATCTACCTGAAGGGGGGTTTGAGAGAGGATGGAGCTAGACTGTTCGTAGTGACAGCAGATGACAGAACAAGGAGCAAAGATCTCAAGTTGCAGCAAGGGAAGTTTAGGTTAGATATTATTAGGTTATTATTCCAAGGGAAGTGGTACTTGCTCCTACCCTGGGGATCTTCAAAAGGAGGCAAGATAGATACCTTGCTGGGGTCATTTGACCCCAGTACTATTTCCTGCCATGGCAGGGGGTCGGACTTGATGATCTGCTCAGGTCCCTTCTGACCCTACTAACTATGAAACTATTAGGAAGGATTTTCTCACTAGAAGGGTAGTAAAACACGGGAACAGGTTACCCAGAGAGCTTGTGGCCTCTCCTTCCTTGGAGGTTTTAAGACCTGGTTAGACAAAACCTTGGCTGGGATGATCTAGTTGGGAATGATCCTGCTTTAAGCAGGGGGTTGGATTAGATGACCTCCTGAGGTCCCTTCCAACCTTAATTTTCTATGATACTATGACTAAAGTTATAAATAACTATACGAGGTTAAATTGTACTGATAAAGCAAAAAGATCAGCTTTCCCTGTTTCAGACTCTACTGCTTGCCTTTTTCATATTTGCAGTTTGATTTGGAAACAAAAGGAAGTTGGATACTGAATGTATTTTACAGGGTTTACCCAATAAATTATCTTGATACAATTTCATTCCCTTCTGTTTGTTTTCTCTAGAACAATGAATATTGAGATAGAAACCACCAGTTCCCACACAATACAAGGAAAGTTAAACAACTGTGCTATAATTAATCAAACAGAAAAGTAATTAAGGTTTGCCCACACTCCCACTTGAAATTAAACCTGCAACAACTATATTTACATTGTATTTACACGTGACCAATGTTAACAGGGCTTTTATGACTGATGTTTTAACTTTTGTGGATGTCGTTTCAAACACCTTTTTGGAATCTTCACTGTAGGTGGGCACTGAATACTTATCAGGGACATTTAATATGATAAAATAAAACCATGTTATTGTCATTCCTAAACGGTTTAGTTCCAGGTAATGCTGAGGAAAATAAGAGCTTTTGTGAGCTGTAGGGACAGGACACACACACAATCTGTAATGTCACTTATTCAGCATTGCATGTTGTAGACCTTTACAGAGCATTCCCACATGTTACATCATTTTTACCTTTCCCAAAAAGATAACCTTACACTGCCCAAATTAAAACGCTGAAGTTAAAAGTTCTTAAACTATTACCAACATTACCCAGCAGCTAGACCAGTAACACTCTGACCTCCCTTCTTCATATTATGGAGGAATCAGAAAAAAATGAAGTACTGACTAAGTAACGCAGCAGCCCTCTGGTCCATTGAGGATAATTCTCCATACTAACTACTGAAAGTGCTATTCTAGATAACCTTCCTGTATCATGTTCCTGGACCTACAGCCCTGTGGGTTTGTCTGTATGTGAACATTTGGAAAATGTAACCTGAATGAATTAAATGTGTGAATTTAAAGTGCATTGGCTAAATAGCATTAAAACCATTTGTGAGTGATTTAGGCTAAATCAAATTAAGACAATGCTCATTTTGATTAAGTCTCTCCATATGATGCACTGACATTATTCAATCTGCTTTAAAAGTTAATTTGGATTAATTTTCCTAACTGTCCTCATGTGGACGAATGGTATTATTGATTCCTTTGCTGTGAAGTTGGTTATCTCTAGGATGCAACATAGTGCAACCCAAGGAGCTAAATGACTGTGTAAAATCACAGCACTGTATATTTCCATGTTAAGGTAATATGCCATTTAGATAAGTGTGGAAATTTCATATTTACATGATTTCTATTGACACTTCTATAAGAGGCACTGTAGTTTGTCAAGAACCATCAAAGCTTTCCCGACACCCTTCACATAACTTAAAACAAGATGAAAAGCTTGTGTATAAGGGAGGAACTGCAAGCACTGGATGTCCTGGATCACAGATAGATGTTTGTCTCAAACATTAGAACTGTTATATATGACTCCACTGTGATGTGAGTCAGACTAGCACAAGAGAGAGCGCACCACGCAGCTAAGATGGCTGGTAACTTTATTGTTCAGCTAAGAAACCCAAGCTGGAAAGCAAACATGGTGATCAAGAGGGATGCAAAGTAACAGTGTTTAAAGAAACTGTACCATTGTAATGGCTAAAGAATAATAATACATCAGAGGGGTAACAAGCTTTTTCAGTTTCCAGGATGGGGGGTTGGAAGAATGCTGCTCACTGGAGAGTGAGACTGCGTGGGGGGTTGGGAGAGGATTCTTACCTGCTGGGGCTCATCGCTGTCTTCGCTTGAATGGTAGTTGCAGCTGCTGCCATAACAGCATGAGCTCATGCTGTTGCCTCTGAGGCACAGGCAGTGGTGAGGGCTCTCTGAGGGTGACTTCTGGTGCTCCATTCACCCCCCACCCCTGGGGGCAAGGCTATGCCTCCTATGGTAAAACCTCCCGGGGGTGGGGGGAGTCGTTCCACCACGCTTCTACTCCCCAGATACACTATGGGACATAGGGATGCTCAGGGCCTCTATGCCCAGGCAGGGGCTGTGTAGGCTGTGCCTGCTGTGGCAAAGGTTTCTGGGGTGAAGGGACCCTAATGGCACCCCCTCATACTTATCCATCAGGACCTAGTGCCCTGCTCGCTCCACCCTAGTTACACTACTGGCAACACATCAGAAAAACAAGTTGCAGTAGGGGATTTTACTATGATAAAACAAAGCATCTAACTGTCTGCATAAAATGTGTTGTTTCTACGGACAGACAACCTACATGGAACAGGGAAGTCATATGAGCAGCATACCAAATAATGGCAACAGACACAGGTTCCCTCTTCTGAGGAAACTTGCTTCTTCATTATTTTGAATATTATGAGTGAAAGCAACTGGAAAAAAATAAAAAGGATGCATTTATAAGCATACAGTGTCTAGCACAATGGTGTCCAATCTGGTTGTCACCTTTAGGTACCACTTCAGGAAATGGTTATTAATAACAATTATGAACTAATTCTTGAAGACAAGAAAGTGAGGAAATATACATGCAAAGGTAACTTCACAGAAACAGTAACAGTATACCTTAGAAAACCACAAGATTATCAAGTGAGACATCAGCTGCTGCTATTTACAAAGAGTGCTGGTAATGGCGTCTCTAGTATATTTAATACAATAATTCAGATAAGGCAAAAACCTTGTCACTATGCAGGATTTGTCTAGAAAGTTTATGTTACCTGGCTACAGGTTGACAGTATTCCTATTTGAAACTAAGAATCAAGGTTGCAGAGCAGTTAAATGGTTAATGCTAACATGTACATATAACTTCATCTCCCTTTGAAAAATTAGGATATTTTTCTTATTATGGTGCCCTGCAGTTCTAAGTAAATCATACCCAGATATTATCTTGAGGTCCTCTAGATCAGATATCATTACTCAGGAAAAAAAAAAGCTTTCATACACTTACCTTATCCTCTAACCGGATCAGTCTGGCTCCTACAGTATAGTATCCTTTGTCTACCCCTTTTTCTTTAAAAAAAAAAAAAAAAAAAAAAATTAGGACCTTCATTAGATGAAGAATAAACTGTGAGTAAGGATATTTAATGGGATTAAAAACCATATAGAAGCTAGTAAAATGTTAGGGTGATATTGATAACATCAGTGCAAGTAGAAAATGTGATTTTCAGAATGAGTCACAGAAAAGAGGAACTGTGTCCCCATGCTATGTGTACATGTGCATATATATATATAATATATATAGTTATGCACAATTTATACAATGTACACATGCTTATTATACTGTCATGCATATTCATAAATAAGATAATCTATTATCAGTTTGCATTTATATCCATGACAAGCTGCATAATCTAGTAGGTAAAACACTGGACTGACTGGCCATCAGAAGACACTGCCACTGATTTACTAATACTGAATAAGTCACTTCAAATATCCTTACCCTCATTCTTTCTCCAAGTTTCTGTCAATCTTGTTTATTGAAGCCCCAGTCCTAAAATTTGCTTCTCTTAGTCAATTGCAGCACTGGAACCTCTTCAAAACTAAAGCTGCTGTTTGAGTTTGTACAGTTTTTAGCACAATGGGGCCAAAACCTGGGTCAAGGCCTGTAGAGACTACTGTAACTCAACTCAGCAATCAAAATCACTAGGTTATGTGCTGGGCAAAATATTCATAATAGATAAAAATATCAGAAACACTGCAAAGAGTTAGGAACCTATATAAATATCCACTAAATTAAATGCTTGCTTTCCAAGTAGTCATTTTTTTCACACAATAGATGATGATGTGAAAAAAAGGAAGAAGAATAATTTTCTGAGGAAAAAGATTCAGTCCTTTGGGCGTTGAAGCTATGAATTGTTGTATACTCATGTTTATATTCCTTTTCCACATTTTTTGCTGGATGGTGTGAGCTCTATTTGTTGAATTGTTGTATTTTCCTGAACGCTTGAGGTAGGAGCTATTGAGACTGACAACATATAGGGTGAAGTTACACAGACCATAGTAAGGGCACCTAAAACACAAATATCCACGCGTTAAAGCTTGTTAAGGTCTGCTAAATGTCCTCTGAGTGTCTCAAAGTTATACTACTTTAGGCAATGGTTAACTCTGGGCTGTGCTACCTAAATCATGTTAGGGTAACTTGCTCCATGGAGATAAAAGAAGTAATTTGCAGTCCCCCAGTATCCCAGAATGCATTTCTCTCAACTCCCCCCACCCCCCACTTCCCCAGAGCAGGGATACAGCTCAGGTGCCTTGGGTCTTAGCCATACCCTTGTTCACTAGTCCTCAAGTGGCAAGTCAATGTGCATTTACATGTGCATTTGAATGTGCATTAGCCTATTTTAATGTGCATTAAAGTATCACAAACAAGTGTTCTTCAGCTAATGCACATTAAAATAGGCTAATACACCTTTTTCTAGTACTTCACTATGGAGGTACTAGATTTAATGAGTATTACCTAAAGCTCATTAATGAACATGTAGACACACCCTCAGAGCTGTGCAGTCAAGAGATAGAATTGACTGTTAATGTGTGGCTGCTCAAAGTGGGCACATCTACATATGCAATTAATGCACCTGAATTTTCTGCACAAAAAATTCAGGCTCATTAAAGTGCTCCACAGTGTACATTTACACATGCACCCCTGCTGGGAGCACACTGAGCCCAACAGGAGCAGCCCAGTCCAGAGCTTCTCCTGCTTTGCTCTGCCCCCTTACAGCAGCCAGCAGGAGCTTCAGGTTGTGCAGGAACTCTCTCAGCACGGTGGGCAGTTCCATCCCAGCCAGAGGAGGTTGGGCTGGCCCTGAGTCGGGGCAGTGGGGAAGGCTATCCTGACTGGTGGGAAGCTGCCTCCCAGCCTTGTGGAGATCAGGTCCCATCCTAATTTCCATAGGGCTGGGAGGCAGCTGCAACAGCTCTCCCAGCCATGTGGGGATCAGGATGGGTCCCAATCTCCATGTGGCTAGCAGACAGCATCTTACCAAGCTGAGACAGCTCTCCCTACCTCCTGTGGGCCCCTGCTTTAATGCTGAAATTTAATGCTGCTTAATAGTCCACAGATTTAGTGTGGTAGAAGTGTAATGTAACTTCACGCTCAGAGTCAGTGGACATCCTCTTGGCATATGTTCAGGGGAAGGCTGTTTCTTATCTTGCCCTTCCACCAAAGACTCCCTGGGATATTAAGAGGGCATTCACCCTGATAGGAGAGAAGTTTTATCAAAGGAAGTAAGGAGTTGGCTAGTAGGCTATTAATTTCACATACAAGTAGATCCCACAAATATGCCCCTACCCGCTTGCCCACCACCACCACCTGCCTCCACTCCTCCATCACTTAGCTATCCACGGCTTCAGCTCTGGCTTTACTCTGGCCCAGGAAACAGACTGCATAGTAACTCCAGCCTCTACCCAGATCAGCAGCAGCAGTTGTGGTGGCAGCAGCTCCAGTCCTGCCACTGGCTCTGGGGCTGGGACTGGAGCTGCCACCATCACTGCTGTTGCTACATGGCCTGGTAAGGGCTGGAGCCACTTTCTGTTCTGTGCCCCAGGCCAGAGCACAGCTGGAGCCACAGTCAGAACTGAAGCCATGGAGGGTAAGGAGTACTGGGGAGGAGACAGAGGTAGTGCCAGGGGAGGCAGAGGAAGCACCAGAGGGATAGAAGATGCTGTGGCTCCAGCTCTGATGCTGGGTTGGGGATGGGGCTGCATCAGCCGGCTGTCCCTCCCCCTCTCCCCTGCTTATGCTCAAATCCAAGACAAGAGACTTCCTCCCCCCACCCCCAAATTAAATGGAAACAAAAACCTTGTCTTAGATTTGAACAAGTAAGGTAATACTGTTTCTTATTTTGACTATTCCAGAAGATTGTGTAGGGGAGAAAACAAAGAAAACAGGAGTTAGAAAAAGTGTCAGAAGGGGTTGTAGCTATTTTATGACGTGGCATTCCTCTCAGATGAAGTGGAAAGCATAATATGCAATAATCGGTTAGCTGTGGCATTTATTTTACTTTACTGACATGTTTGCTATATATGCCTTAGAGGGATAAAGAAGGGTGTTAGTGCCCAAAAACTTGCAGAGAACATTTTTTCCAACTACTCGGTTGGTCTAATAAAAGATATCACATTTACCCAAAGAACTTTATCTGACTTAGAAGACTGTAGTCTTTGCATCTTCTGGTTAACTTCCATTTAATTAAGAATTTCAGAAGCAATTAACTAGCATTTCTCTCTAGTACAGACTGAAACCTTTACATAAAAGCAAACTGGTAAATGGATGGACTTTAGTTTAAATAACACTATTCTAATACATTTGATTTCTGTCTAGTGTTTATACTCTTCCTCAGCAGGCTTTTCAAAGGATATAATTTCATTCTTTCATTCTGAGATTTTTTTTCTTTTTTCATTTGGAGAAAGGTTGCATAGTAACCTTTTGGAAAAGCTTGTATGAAAATTGTACACCTGAAACTCCTTTTATGTTTTTTATCTTGAAACCTAAATAATTTTCTCGTAACATTTTTGTTCTCTAATAAATGGATACATTGGCCAATCGACAGGAGAATAATCTCCAAATATGTGAGGAATACAAACAGAAAAAAGAAGGAATGTATTTATTGTGAATCAAGTATAATTAGATGGAATAGGATGCAATTATGTGAGAAAAAAACAGCTGGGCATCAAGAATGAATTTTGTGAATACAATGCAGTAATCTTCCCAGGGACACAATAGATGTCTATCACCTGCATATTTACATTTTGACTAGGTAAAACAGTAGCAAATGTATAATATGAAGAATTCTTAGCTACTAGGGATCGAAAAAGACCTCAGTCTTTCAGTTTATTACTAGACATTTCTATTATTTCTTTCCTCCATTTCAGTGCATTTCCTCTTCTCTCTGCAAACACTTTACTTGTTTCAAAAACTATATAAGCCTAAATTCCCTGCACTAATTACTAATCTGGGAGAACTACAGATTTTCAGTGTCCAACCTGAGATGCTTTGCATCTGACTTTCAGAGACACCCCACATTCAGTGTTCTCATTTGGAAAAAAATCAGTAAAAGTAAGCTCCAACTGGTTACCAAACTTTTTCAGTTTTCTTTTTAATAAAGTACTATGCTGCATTTCATCAGAACATTTCAATTTTTTTAAATCTGTTTTTTTTTAGTAAGAACGTATACTTAGTATAATGTTAACATATGAAGTCTTGCCAAACTGTCTGAAAAAGATTTGAGCTAGAAATGATCTGTTTTGTTTTTTACAGAGTAAGAAATCTTCCATTTCAGTATAATAAAGCAATAGCTTGCATATGCTTACTATATGAAGTTGCTAAAGATTTTTCCCAAGCTATTTTAAATCAATTTGTTATTATTATTATCATTACCACCAGAAAATGAAGAATTTAAGTTTGGTGAATGACAGACTGCTAAAAGCATCTGGAAACCTCAGGAAATTCACCAAGTCCAGTAGCTGAATTGGATGAAAGGCAGGCTAAAAGAAGTCATCCTGTTTAATTGTTGGTTTTATGCTGGTAAAGGGCTAAATCCAGTTTGTTGATGTAAGTACCTATGCTGACGTGAGAACACTGAAACTCCCCTCTAACCTTCAGAGGGAATAGATGGTGTGAGAGTCTGTTGTCAACAGAAAAGGTCCCAAACTACTACCATCCCACCCACTTTCCTGGTGGTTGGGTGAAATAAGCTCAATATCCAAACCATCTCTGGTTTTAGTAAAATATCCATCATCTAATACTTGGAAATAAATAAGCCCAGTTTAGGAACATTCATTTCATTCTTGAGTTTCCACAGGTTTTTAATAAAATAATTAATATGCCAGATTATTTCTGGCCTTGGTCTTGCCAACTGAGACAATGAGATTCTGCAAACTTGAGAGCCATCTCCAGTTTTCCCTTCTCCAGTTGCTTATTCCTCATATCTGATCTATTTCATTGCAAGTTGGAGTCACTATAAAGCTGGCAGGCTATGGGGACAGGTGTCATTCTTGGCAATGTCACCTTGAAAGATGGTTACTTCTGGAATAATTATCTCAGAGCAGCTATTCAGCACTAGAGGTTTTCCAAGAAAAGATTAACAAGGAAGCTGCATAAGTGATGGGGCTGCCATGTTCTTCAGAGCGGCAGTCATTCCTTTCATAACATGTTTCAAGGAGTCCTGGGGGATCCTTAGTCTACTCCCTAACAAGACTGCACATCATAATCAGGCCAGAGAATGAACCTGCCAACATTTCTGTTAGAACTGAATATTTGAGGAAACCAATGTTTTTCCTGAATGCAAATAAAATCTGAATATAAAATGAAGGGCAAGTTTGTTTTTTTTAATGACAAGAAAAGCTGTTGCAGATCTTGGCTTGAATTAGAAAATGTCCTCCCTCAGGCTCAGTTTTACAACATCTCCCTAAGTTTTATCTGATAACTAAAATCCCACTGCTGAACCTGAGCTCTCCTGCAAGTGCACTCATACCTTGCTGGCCTATTTACCAGTTACAGTCCCTTGAGCTGGTGATAGCATTATGCAGTTCTAATTAAACGCTGGTTCAAACCTACAAAATTATTTGAGATCATCCAAATAAATTGTCTGACCTAAGATTTAGCAACTAAACTTTCTTAGCATCTCCACTAGGACCTGCTACTTAATGAAGCATGCAGAGAAAGCATCCAGCTTCAGAAATTCCCTGGAATATTATATCTCAGGTATGCCCTTTACATTCAAATGTCCCTCTCTGCCTGCAGCTTAGAGACAAAAAGCTGTCTAAAAAACCCCCAATCATATCTTCACCTTGATACTATGTGAGTTATAGCTGCAATTTGATAGTGGTCAGAGTTTACCCCGTTTTAGGAGATAATACCGGTTCTGATAATATTCCCCATTTTCATCACAGGTCCTGCAAGACATTTTTCAAAGGCACCAAAGTGATTTAGGAGTCCAAATACTATTTTCAAAGGTGGCTTAGGTACTCAGGGTTGAAAGTTCCTATGAGTGTTAGGGAAACTGATGCTGTTGAGTGCCAAACCTCGCTTTGGAAAACAGAACTTAGGCTCCTAGCGATATGTCTATACTCCTCAAAGCAGCCTTGTTCAAAGGCAGGGGTTCTCAAACATTGTGATATCGCAACCCTGTCAAATAATATATAAATTTACGTGACTCCCCCATGATTAAAGCTATTGATTTCATTAGGATTAGGTAGGGGACAAATAAAGCACATTTATTATATTATTTATTATATTAAATGAAATACAATAGTCAAAAAACACTTTATAAAGTTTATCAAATTCCAAACTGTTTCACTGAAAAAAAAACACTGTCAAATTTAAAACCCAATAGTTTCCAATGAGAAGAATGAATTGGCTTAGTACTGCTTAGTTTTTCAAACCTGGGCTTTATTTTCAAGACTGCCAGTCTCATTTCACGCTCCACATTTATTTTTGATCAGTATTTGCTTTTTATAGCGGCAACTGTTGAAAACCCTGATTTACACATGTAGGATGTTGCAAAGGGAAAACTCGCACTCAGTCGTATGCAGTCAATCAAACTGTTGACAGATAAACATTGAGCTTTACTAACCTGTACACGTGGAGATTAGAAAACAAAAGAGTCACTTCCAGTGTGGGTGAGTCCAATAACACATGTGTTGCTGCCGGAGGAGGGAAGCAAGCAGAGTGTTTGCACGATGGGGAGGGAAGAGAAGTTTGCGACCCACTTTTAAGTTGCTCACGACCCCCCGGGGGGTCGCAACCCACAGTTTGAGAACCCCTGTTCTAAGGTACACCTGACCTGCTTGGTGCATAGTAGTTCCCAAAGCAGAGATAGCCTTGTGACAAAGCTACTCGGGGTTGTATGCACATGTCCTAAGACACTTCAGTGCTTTTGAAAATTTCATCCAAAACCTAGAGAATCCAAACTTATAGAATCTTTCAAAAGGAAGAAAGCTGAAAGTGTAATTAGTATGTTTACCTAAGCCAAGCCATCAACAACTTAGAAAGCAATTCAGTATGGTAAATCATATACTAAAAGAAGTGTCCAGGCCTCTGTGTCATGGTACCTTTTCTTAGCAGTTATGGTCAGTTTCTGTTTAATCCCAGCAGCACTACCTGAATGTCAGGTAGCAATCATGACATAGCTATACAGCATTCATTAGCTGCATCTAGCAACTGATTGAACACTACGGTTGTTCTATATTAGTCTTAAGTGACAGAACCATTCATCTTACAATACAGTCACCATACCTGGAAGGAAAAGAGCAGGCTTCCCTAAGGAATGATCTAGTCTGAAAAGCAAACAGAGGACCATTTTAGTTTGCCAGCTGCAGAATTATCAAACAACTTATTGTTTGCAACTTGGAACAGCACACAGATCCATTTTACATGCAAAAGAACAGTAGTTTGAAACTAGCAGCAAAGTCAATGAAAAATTTTGGCATCATTTCCTAGATATAAACAGTCAGCAGTTTGGCCCTTTTATATATTGTAATTTGGTGGAATAAAATTTCAGGGTTATTCTATTTATTCTGTTTTCATGTTATAACTAAAATAATTTAGTTGTATGAAACCATCTATCCTTCTTCATCATGGTGTGTGTGTGAAAGGTCACCAGAAGGGCCGTGCGATGCTTTGGTCCCTGATTTGATTTGGCGGAGATTTGGCCTGATTCAGTGGCCTAATCTCCAAATTGGAATCAAATGAGGAGACCCTTTAATCCCTCCAAATTGAATCAGAACCCTCCGAATTGATTTGGAGAGATCTGATGATTTGGACATAGATGCAGTTTTAAATGTTTTTTCTACATACCTCAAGGTACCATGTGGCTCGTGAATGCTGAGATGGTGTGGTGGATGGAGCACCCCACAGCAGCATGGGGGGCTCCCCAGTGCACCTGGCAGCAGACCTGGAAGTGGAAAAGGAGTACTTCCGGTCCACTTCTGGGTCTGCCCCTCCGCACCCCCCCGGCTCGGCAACTGGTTCCTCCTGGGTCTGAGGGGGCACCCGGGGATGAGCGCTGAGCTGGGAGGTGTGTGGGAGGGCCCCCTTCCGTGCTCAATGGAGGACCCAGAAGTGGACTGGAAGTACTTCTGGTCCACTTCTGGGTTTGCCACTGAGCATGGGGGGAATCCCCCCATGCTCCTGTAGGATGCTGCATGCACCCCACCACTGCAGTGTTCACAAGCAGTACCTAGTACCTTGAGGTATGTAGAAAAAACATTTAAAGCTGTGTCTATGGCCGAATCGCTGATTCTCCAAATCAGCATCAAATCTTCAGATTTGGATTCAGCTGGATTGAACGGGGGACAGTGATCTGAATCAATTAATTGAATCTCTGTCCCAAATTTGGGCCGAATCCGAATCAAATATGGCCAACTTCGCACACCCCTAGTCACCAGGACCTTCAATACCTCAAGCTCAATACCTAGGCAGGAGTATGGAGGGATCCCAGACTTTCCACCCCCTTTTCAGACCATTGGGACAGTATTAAAAGACCAGACAGAATCTAGACATATGGCGTTTTGATGGCTCTAATTATATACGCAACCAGAAATTGAACCCAGATCTCCTGTGTGGCAGACACGGATTCTACAGTTTAGCTTTGCACTAAATACAGTAATATTTGTAACTCTTCCTTAAATTCCATAGAGAGAGTTGAAAAAATAAATTTGGATACAGTGGAACTGATCCAGCTCAACAGGAGTTCAGCCACTGCTTCAATGGTTAAATAATCTGATTTTGGTGTCCTGCATTAACTATGCATCTCTCCTCAAGCCAGCTGAAACCAGAGAAATCAAACACTGGATCGGGTATATAGGGCCTACCTTCTTTGAAGTTCTTTTATCCGGACCATCATATTGAGGTGTCCTTGAGAGTATTGTTCAATTACATCACGTACATCATATGGTTTCCGGGCTTGCTGCAAAAGGAGAAATATGAAAGTGTCAGATAATGCTTATTTTTACATCATTCATATGCATCAGATAGACTTTCTTTTTAATTCTCAAGAGGTTTTTTGATGACGTTCTCTGTAAGAACTGAAAAATATGATAATCCTAGACAATTCTTTACTATTGTAGCTGCCAAGGCATAAAAGTCGTCACGATGTCCCCTGCTTTTCTTGTGATACAATGTGGATTTCAAATCTTTTTTAATTAGGCACCTTGGAGCTACTCCTTATAGAAAAACTTTCTTCATAGTCCCCACAGGCACTCAGCAGAAGCCCTGAAGATGTCTGATGAAGACATCTCCCACATGGAGCACATTATCTTTCAAACCTGAGGGTAAGGAATACTTTAGCTATTGCATATGCGATATATGTGATAGCTAAATCAGCATATGCTACACAGCTATAACATATCACATATGCTGATTATTGATCCAAGACCATCCTTGTCCCTATCATACTTTCCTTTCTATAAACTCTTAGACTCTGTCTTGAAGTGATTCAGGTTCTTTGCCCTCATTACTTTTCTCAGAAGAGTATTCCAAAACTTTGCTCTTCTAAAAAACCAGATACTTTAATTTCCAGTTCTATTTGTTTATAAACAATTTGTTTATTTTTAGTCTATTTAAATTTATTTGCAGTCTAAATTTATTTGTAAACTAAATAGCTCTTTTTTTCTCTTCATGATAGTCACCCTGCAAAAGTATATATATAAAGTATATATAAGAAGCAATCATATTCCCACACAACTTTCTAAAATAAATAAGTCAAACATGCATCTCATAATGTAGGTTGTCCATTTCCTGAACATCATGGCAGCTGTTCTTTATACCTGTTCTAGTTCAAATTCTTTTTTTCATAGATTTCATAGACATTAAGGCTAGAAGGGACCTTGGGAGATCACCAAGTCCAGCCCCCTGCCCCAAGGGCAGGAAGTCAGCTGGGGTCATAGGATCCCAGCAAGATAAGTGTCCAAACACTTATTAAAGGAGTCCAGAGTAGGTGCTTGCACCACCTCCAGAGGGAGCCTATTCCAGGCCTTGGAGGCTTGGACAGTAAAGAAGTTTTTCCTTATGTCCAGCTTAAAATGGTCTTGGAGGAGTCTGTGACCGTTCCACCTTGTCATCCCTTGGGGTGCTCTGGTGAACAGGCATTCCCCCAGATCCTGATGCACAACCCTGATGTACTTATAGGCTGCCACCAGGTCACCCCTGATCCTGTGCCTTTCCAGGCTGAAGAGTCCCATGACTCTCAGCCTCTCTTCATAAAGCCTATTCTCCTGTTCTCTGATCATGCGCGTGGCTCTCCTCTGGACTCCAAGCTTCTCCACATCCTTCCTGAATTGAGGAGCCCAGAATTGGATGCAGTACTTCAACTGCAGCCTCACCAAGGCCGAGTACAGTGGGAGGATGATATCCTGAGATTTAAATGAGAAGCATCTATGGATGCAAGCCAATCTTTTAATAAAGATCAGGGCTGTCCTACTTGCAGATTGTGCATACAGCCCATGAGCAGTTAACTTGCAGCTCACAGGGTCCCACCTGGCTGCTAGCTCTCTTCACCACTCCCTTCTCATGTTGTTTGGGTCTCAAGGTTTCCCCTTCCTCCTCTGGCTTCTTGTTCTGCTCCCAGCTCTGGGGGCAGGGAGAAGTGGCCTACAGAGTGGGAGTAGAAAGGGCCATGGTAAGGAAGACCATGTGGCAATGGGAGTGGGGTTCTGGGCAGCCCACACAGCAGGGGCAGGAGTGAGGGGCATAGTGAGGGGAACACTCAGAAGTTGGACAGCCCTGTCGTAGGAGATCAGAATTTTACACAGTAGTCTAAATAGGGGATTACTAATGCCATGTACAGTGATACTAACATTTCCTGGAACTTCATCAATATTCCTTTCCTAACATAACTTAGAATTGCATTAACCTCTTTCATGACCATATGATGCTGTTGAACCCTGTGATCGAATGGCATATTCATCTCTCTTTTCCACCACTGCTGTCAGTGTATAAGCCTCCTCCTTTTAGCAACAGGCCTTGTTATTAATCCATCAGTGTGACTGCCCTTCATACTGTTAGAATTTGTACCATTTGTAATACTCTACTACACAAGGTAGTCTAATTCTTTCTCTATAATAATGTGGCCCTTCTCTGTGTTAGCAATATTGCCCCATTTTTGTCTTCTGCAACTGTCATAAGATTTGGTCCACTTCATTGTTCTTGTCTCTGAAGTCAATAATCCTGTCATAGAAGGGCATTAGATTGGTATGACAAGATCTTCCTTGGATAAAACCTTGTTGTACTTTGTCCCCTTTTCAGGGACTTCCATATCCATGATTTTTCATTCCTTCAGCAGCTGTTCCAATCAAGCATGTGGGATGGCAATTTTTGGGGTCAGTCTTTTTCTCTTTTTGAAATATAGGCACTACATTTGCTCCTTTCCCATTATAGGGTATTATCCCCAGTCTGACAGATTCAGTGGAGCTAAGTGCTATAGCGTCTACTCTTTCCTTCCAGTTCTTTCACTCTTCTAAGTTTGGCTTCTACCATCTCATATATAGTAATACTTCTCTCATGTATGGTCATTTCCATAACCATGCTATCATTCCCATTTGCAACTCTATTATCCTTATTACTTCTTCATCTTTCAAAACCAATGAAAAATATTTATTGGGACATACCTATATTGTATTTGATCTCCATCCCATCTTCAATGTATAGAAGCCCCACCTCTTCCCTACAAGTTCTCTTTTAATTTATCCAATTAAAAAAACATTTGCTGGGGTTTTTATGATTGCTTTCCAGGTCTAACTTAGCTAAAGCTTTGGCCATTCTCACTTTCCCTCTGCAATGTTTGACCACTGGAAGATCTCTCTCCATACTAATCAAACCCTTTTTCCATTCCTTATAGAGCCTCTGTGTGCTTTTAATATCTTGTTCAAGGTACTTGTTCATCCAAGTAGGCTGGTAGTTCTTTCCAACCAATTATTTCCCATTGCTTGGGATGCAAACTCTTCATGATACTTGCATGTTTGCTTTAAAGCAGTGGCACCTATGGGCTGGGCTGGCCCCATGGGCTGGTCTGTTGTCGGGTTCAACATGGGGGATAGGGCTGCAAGCAGGATGAATGTTTCAGTATTGGTCTGAGGGCCCAATCAGGCTCAATTAAGTGTCACTGGTCCTCTGCAATCACATTTCTGCACCTGTGGGGTGCCCCATAAGTCAAATGATATGGCTCTGTCAGCTGGATTTAGTCCATGGGCTGGATCTTCATCACCTTTCTTAAAAATAATTTCACATAACTTCTGCATCTTACTATATTAAGATAATTGCAATTTAGGATGACTGGATTCAGATTCACACAATTCCAAAGTTTGGGGATGTTTAGTGTCAAGATTTTGGTCTAGATATCTACCAGATGCTTCCCCAAGATGTGAACCTGTTTGGATCCATAAGTTAGGCCCATCTTTACTTAACAGTATTATATGCAAAAAAGCAGAATTAAGATACAAAAATAAAAGTGAAGATAAAGTCCAGTATTTCCCTCACTTCAGTCTTCCTTTAGACTGCTAAACTTCCTCCTGGAATTCTGTGACTTTTGAGACATGACTTTTTTTTTTAAAGTCTGGAGAATTTGCATTAAATTATGTGATTATAAAAGGTAGCAAAACAGCCCAGAAGTAGGGGAGAGGACTGGGAACAATCTCCTTTAGAAAATATCAACATTTTTGGACCCACCCCAGCCCAGTGGGAAATATGGGGCAAGATGTCTCCGTTTTGGCTTTGGCTCAAGAGAAAAAAAAGGTACACTGCAAATCCAGTAACTGAAAATAACTGAAAACAGCTCATTAGTCATCTTGTTGTCTGTTTCCACTCTGCCACAGCTTCAGCCGAAGCCATTAGCATGCACCATTGCACACATGCACTGAACACCTACAGTATGTGCTGGAGTCATGCTTGGAAGGCAGCCACAGGATCCTAGAAATTTCACATAAAAGCCTGGAATTGGAGTGGAAACAAATCCTGTAAAATGAAGGAGCAAAAAGTCTTAATGACAAAATCCTTTCCTAGCACTTGGCTGTGGGAAGTTACCTGCATTATTGCCTTCAACAAAATGTAGCTGTTGTGTAAGGGACTGCATGTGTGAGGAGGTTGTTTTTGTTTTGTTTTGTTTTGTTTTCAAGCTTTCAATTTATTGCCTATTTTTTTCCCTCCCTTCTCAAGCTCTGCTTGTTGCAGACGCTGACACATCACTATTTCTGGCCAGAAAAGCAGTCTATTGTCTTCCCCCAGAGAACCAGTGCCAATATCTCTCTTTAGATTGACTGGCAGGGGTGCTTTGAGAACATTTTGGCTAACCCTCCTTTCCTCCTTTTGGACACACTCTATTTAGACATGATGCATGGCTCACAGCCTAGCTGTGCTAGTGGGGTTTTTTTTCCCTTTAGAGGCTACCATGTGCATAATTAATTCTCTTCATTCCACATAAAACTTTCCTTTTTCATTCCCCTAAAAATCCTTTTACCGCTGCTACCAAATCATCAACACTAAAACCTTGTGTTGTTAAAGGATGTACACTGCATTCTTCCTGAAACCAACCTAAAATCTGAAAAAAAAAATGTTTCTAAAAAAATCCTTCTAACATCCACCTTTTCCCTTCTGTTTTCCCATTAACCCTTTTTAGACCAGAACAGGTTATATTCTGCATCTGGCACAGACTGCACAAATGTGTTTAAATTGAATACAACTTCTTGTGAAGTTATGAAAAATAATAGAATATACAGTAAAAATCATGTAATGAATACTCCCAAGGAAGTTTGGTAAACCCTTCGAGCCCATCTAAGTTTTACCAGTTCTAGACCCTTTCCCCCTAAATGTATCCTAAATCAGGGGCATTATATCTATTTAAAAATTGGACTATAGCCCAGCATAGATGTTTTAACACATCTCATATTCAGGTTCTCCTTTTCTGAGCTTCCAAACTCTATCTGGATTCTGGTTTTTCTTAGCCTAAGTTCCATGTCCATAAAGAAAACAGGATTCTTGAGTCATCAAGTTAAACACAGGCATCAGGTCATATAATCCCTTTCACAAAAGTAGTTAAGGTTTCCCTCCAACCTCTTTATGCCTACTGGGAAGCTACTCCAGAATTTGTCTGCTCTGAAGTTTTGGAAACTTCTCCTAATTTCTAGTCTAAATTTCTTCATGGATAATTTATACATTGGGACCACATAATTGAAAACTGCACCTGTGCCACAGCTGGGGGCATTGAAGCAGTGGCAGCATGGGCACAGTTCCCAGCACCAATGCAGTACCTTGCCACCTGGCCCTGGTGTGAGTGCAGGCAAAACCTCTTGCCTTCAGAATGATGGTGAAGCCCTCCCAGCTCTGAGGGATAGATGGAGTGGCTCTGAGAGTCAGATCTGGCTTGAAGACCATATGTCTTTGGCCCCCGGGCTAGGATATCTAAAACTAGTTATATTTTATATCTATAAAAACTAGGAGTGGAAGGGAGGGATATGTTCAGGGGCATCCCTAATTATTCATGCAGCCTCCATAATGTGGACATACTCTGGATGATCATCCTGTTTAATCTATTCACCTACTACTGCATTGTAGGAGGACATTGGCTGAAACAGATGTCACATTTGTCCAGGGACTCTAAAGACAAAGAACCACTGTCCTGCTTCAAGTATTCAAGTTTAAATGTGCTATCACTTTGTCTGGGGATATCATGGGGTGCATCTGTAAGGTTATTGCAGGTTGTTCCCTAACAAGCTAGCTAGGTTGCGTGCTCTCCCTAGCCACCTACAAGCAGAGGAACAGCAACAAAGCTTGAAAAGGCTACATTTGTAAATGGCTGTTCCACTCCTGTTTTGATGAGGGTCTATAACAGACACAGGGTGCTCTGTTACTTGCAGGAGCCTGAGCAGCAGCAAGGTAGCCAGCAGCTGCTTGCAATCCCAATTAGGCACCACTGCCTGACTGGGGAACAGGACCTGGCTGTTCCCTACAAGAGCAGAGCTCTGAACAGCAAAGGCAGCAGTTTGCTACCAGCAGCCAGAGAGATGCCATTGGCTGAGCTACTACTCAATGTCTTGGGGGTAAGGGCGGGGCTATTGGGATGGAGGGGAGCCCTTGGTATGACTTGAAACTGCACCCTAATGGGGAATGGTGGGCTGAGATCAAGCAGGGGGAGCCTTGACTCATGGGAGCTCTGAGGCAGGGCCCAGGTTGGTAGAGGCACATGGAGCAGAGTCCAGGCTTGCCGTGAGCCCTGAGGCTGCTGTAGGGAGCCAGGACTAAGGCTTCAAGGGGGTGGGTCCCTAAGCCTTGGGGAGCTAGTAGAGAAGCTCCCAGGTGAAGGGATAAGGGATAGCTCAGGGGGGCATGGACCAGGGCTTGGAGCCCTGGCCCCATGGTGCGAGCTTGGATGCTCAGGGTGGGGCTTGTAGGCCCAGTGTGCAGGCTTGTAGGCCTGGAGTGGGGCTTGGAGACCCAGTGTGCAGGCTCAGAGGCCCAAGGTGGGGCTTGGAGGCCCAGAGTGCGGGCTTGGAGGCCTGGGGTGGGGTTTGGAGACCAGAGGGGGCTTGGATCCCAGAATATGATTAGGTAAGAGCACAGTTTGAGGGTGTTGGGACCATGAGCTCCGGTGGGGACAGAGCTCATGTGAGAATCCGGAGCTCAGGTCCAGGTACTAGCCAATTGGAGAAACATCTGTGAGGCATGGGACATGATAAGGCAAGGTTGGAGATGTGTGTAAGGCTCTTGTCACCAGGGCAAGTAAATGGGCAACCTCCCACTTTAGTGACATCTTTTAAAAGTATTAATATCAAGGTGTGGCAGGAGAGGTAGGCAGGTGGTTTGCCTGGAAGCAAGTGGGCGGGCCAACAATTTGACCAGTCCTGGGATGCACTCTTGTTACAGGGTTAAATCCTGTGACAATCAGGATTGCATCAAATACAGCAGCTATTTATAACTGTGGAGTCTTTATAGTTGTGGAGTCTTTTCTGCTAGTCAAACAATTATCTTCAAAAGGAAGAAAATGTATTTTTTAAAATTATCCTGGAAAATAAAAGTAGAACATAAAATATTGATAAAAAATAACTCTGGGGCTGATTCTACAAATTCTGTAATGTTTAGGTGTTCTGCAGGAGTCCTTCATGTTTGTGGGGAATTCTTTATACAGTTTAAGATTTACCGCTGAGTAGTAATATGCAAGCATGAGTTTAAATAGATTTTAAATAGATCTTGTTTATTAGACCTTGTCATAGACCTTGACTTAGCCATATGCTCAAGGACAAATTTCACCTGCAGAGTTTTTATTGGTCAGGCCCACTGTCATCCCCTATCCTGCATGAACACTTCTCTTTTTCATTTATCCTTTTGTTGTCTGTTTTTCTGG